ATATCGCCACATGTTATTTTGCTATGTGTTATATAACCTCGTGGTAGATTATCATGCATTATATCACTACACGTGCTATCGTCACACATTACGTTATCAAGTATTATATTGCCAATTGTTAGATTATTACGCATTACATCACCAAACGTTCTCTGTCAGTTATTTTTAACTAGCAATTTAATTTCATCACATTACACGGCCAATTTGCTGTGATTAATTTACTGAAAACCCTCCGTTGATATTTATCAAGTATTATAATAATATAGTCGTGCATATTTGAATATAATATTTGAAATGATTTAATACATCATCATTGAATAATGCGATATACAGCTGTATACATGAATATCTAGCGTTCTCATCGAACGCGAAATTGTTCCCCTGTTATCGATATTAATATCACTGAGAATTGATATCTAGGTTGCGAATTTCCATTACGTCTTTGTATCGTTTAATCTGCATACGTATTTTATTCTCCCGAAGCGTATTTTTACGAGTGCCTTGTTCGATATCATTTCCGTCATAACAGTTATGCGTGATTGGAAAAACAATGATTTCGTGGACGTCATAACTTCTTTAGCTGATAACTTATTATCGGTTTATAATTGTGTGATATCAAGTTCGTTAAACCTTTCTTTCAAAACTCTTCATTCAAACAGTTATTGGTTCCGGTTTAATCAGATACATTCTTTTCACTGCTTTCAACCTACGGAAGCTCTAATTCAGTTTATTTAATTGGCGAAAATTTGATATTGGAAATTCATTTTCAGCTACCTTTTACATTCAAAACGTGTTACACATGTGACCTCGCACCTTTTACAGAGATTTAATTATCAAATAATTTATTTACGTATGTGGAATATTTTTGTAGCCATAAATATTTATTAGAATCTTGAAACTATATTGTTTCCAGAATATTTTATTTAAAAGTACAGGATTAATCACACGTGTCCAAGTTTCATCATATAGTTTCCTAAATAAAATAAGCAGATATACGTTTATCTCAAAATCATAGGCGTTGAAACCAACCGATATCAATTCGGTATCGTTCAATATTTGTGCAACCGTGTTTGAACGTTCGATTAATATCCAAAATAAACTTCATCGAAATAACAATTTAACAAAATCTTGGGATAATCCGCTACATTTTCCCCGAAAATACTTGCGGACCGTAATACTGGGAAAAGAGGATTATCGAGAAAGCTGTTTCAACTTTCGAACTTTTTTTTATTAACGCCGAAGGAAATATTGGATTAAAATAGAATAAAAGTATTATCACGGCGAAGAAGGATCACGAAGTCGGGATTGGAAGCTCGCTTTCGTTATTGTTGCCCGAGTTTCTTGACTTGGTCCCGCCACCAATTTTTCTCCCCATCTCGTCGAACAAAAGGAAGAGAAGAACGAGGAGCTATAATAATTCCTTTGAGCATGCACTTCACGGGAACGGGGAGAGACAGTCAATCGATACGACCCAGTTTCCCTCTCACGACCCCGAAATTTGCCACATCGACGACCCCGTTGTCAAAATCGGGACATTTCCCGGTATATGGCCAAAAGCTTTGATCTTGTGATTGCTATTTTCCGGTCATTTTTCGAATTCGGATGCTAACCGTGCGGTTCCTCTTCTCAGGAAAATATGGCACTTTTATGATCAAATGTGATAAAAAATACAGAACTTTATTTTGGTACAAAATGAAATTACACTTGAAATATAACATTGTGTACATCTTATATAATATAACTTTTCAGACTAAATTTGCAAATAGTACTAAAAATAGTAGTAAAAATTTTAGTCTAGGTACGTACGTAACTTCATCTACACATGTTATATAAATAGTATACCATAGACTATTATATAATGCACTTTATACACTATATAATTCATATAGTATACTATAATAATCAGGGTATTAAAAGATGATTCAGTATCGTCCATTAGGGGATGAAAATCTAAGAAAAAATTTTTGAACACCCCAATATAATTTATTATATACATAAATAAAAAATAAACTATTTGCTAATACATATAATAAAAATAAATATAAATTATACAATTTTGTAGGTATATCAGAAAAATAACATTTTGCATTCTCAAATGTTTTTCTAACATTTAATAAAATGTTTTTAAAAGTACACTATATAAAGTAAAATAGGGTATAATAGCATATGTATAAAAAAAGGAGTACAATAATACATACAAAATATAGTACAATAGTATGCAGTACCGTTGGCAACCCTAGTTGAGCTAGAAACGGAAAAGAGGGTAATAAAGTTGTTTTGAATCAGTTTGTATTTTCATTGGGTAGAATTTGGGTCACATTGTGCTCCAATAAATTGTCTGATTCGATTGATTTTAATAACTCAAGCGAGTTAATGTATTTGAAACATAAAACTTGTTTATTTATGCGAAATGAGATGAATTTTGGTTTATTGATTGGATTAAATTTCGTACCAGTTTGCGTTGCATTTATTTTAATAAAAGCATATGTTATTTCTATAAAAGATAGTGGGTTTATTGTGATAAGAGTCTGTGAAGGTTTATTTAAAAAAAGAATCTGATATGTAGGTGTACTTTGATGAAGACAAATGTTGATTTATTTCAATTAAAATGTTAGTCTACTTTGATAAAAGCATACATCAAATTCCTCTTTATTTTCTCATTACTTTTTTGTTCATTTCTTAATCTTTCATTATGGAGCAAAGAAGCATGGAGCAAAGAAACTTAGCAACACATAAAAAAAGATTGATTTTTTATAGTTTTCAAGTTCTTGTTTATCAAACCTGGTACAAGAAACTGAATGTCGTAGTTGTGTCACGAGTCCTTTTTCCATCGAGTCCGTCAATGTTAGACGATTCAGCCACGATTAAATCGCTCGTTTGTTTGGAACAATAGGAAGATCTGTTCTTCAGATCGTTCACGTAGAAACAACTTAATAATTGGTGGTTCTGACTACTTCCTCCAATCTCACAATCAGTCGCGTGCGCTAAACGCTTCCTCCTGAATTCTAATTTAACCCTCGGTCGAGGATGTGCTCGGTATTTCAATCCCAGTATCATAATAGCTAGTTAAACGATGAATTCTTTGCGTGTCCTTCTTTCATCTGCTTGTCAAACGCTCGGCTCTTTTTCACGCAGTTTCATCCCTTTCGCCTTTTGATGGACAACATGACTTTGGTATTCTTCGTTTAAATTGCTGCAACGCTGTTAATCCGTTCGCCAAACGATGTGCATATGTATGTGCAGAGATGTGTCTTTTAGAGGTCTCGTCACTTGTTGATCTTTCGTTGGTAAATTTTTGCACTTGGAAATTTTTTAACTTCTGAAGTTGGATATTAGAGATTTGGGAGATATTAGAGGGCTTTGAGAGATTTGGGAGTTTGATAATTTAAGAATTTGAAGGTTCGAAAATTTTAGGAACTGGGATGTGAAAATTTGGAGTTTTGGAAAAATGGAAATTTAGGGATTTGAAGGTTTGAAGTTTCAAAAATTTAGAGATTTCGAAACCTGGAAATTTGGAAACTTGGAAACTTGAATATGAGGATTTTAAAATATGAGAAATTCAAGATATTCAACTAGGTAATTAGAGAATTTAAAAATTAAAAAATTTAGTAATTTGATAATTTTAAATTTTGAGAATTAAAAAACTTGATAACTGCAAAACTTAGAAATTAAAAAATTTTAATATTTATACATTCAAGAATTTGTGAATTTTGTAATTCAAAAATTTGAGTATTTGTGAATTTAAGAATTCCACTACTTAGAAATAGAGAAAGTGAGAATTTGAATATTTTCCAGTTCACACGTTTGGTTCCTCAAAATTGAAGACGAGTGAGCAGTTGAAAACTATTAAGCTCTAATTTTCTCTGAACAAACACGACAGTGACCGCACACGTAATATTATCTAATTTAATTATACACAAAATTTGTACGTTATTTTGTGATCTTGCCAGATGCGCACTCAAAATTACGTAGCTATTTCACAAAGTTCGTGTTTACAGAATCTGTCGTTCACGTTGCCAACAGTCAATTCATCGTTTAAATCCAATGTAAATTTTGCAATATCTTTACATTCCCGAAGAACAAAGTGTCCTGATTTCTTTACAAGTGGCACTCTCATTTTTCATACGAAACATGTGTACATATTAATAAAATCAACCAGGTAAAATCTTCTTTAGAGAGAAGAAGAGATATGCAATTTTTATATATATGTTCATTTGCAGTTTAAATTTTATTTAAAAGTTTGTTTCATTCGTATCAGCAGTAAGCGTTTGAACTTCAGAGGTATAAATTTAGAAATTCGACGGATTTTCGAACACTGCCAACGTATTTCTTTGACCAACATTAATCGGGCGTGTTTCCGGTTTGCGACGATTCGGCAATCAGTATTGCTTGTTATTAATATCCTGTACATGTGTATACTCGGGTGATGCAGGCGTTTTTTACCTGTTTTCCAGATTCCAAACTTCGCATTTCATATTTTTAAATATTCAGTCAGATATTGCATAATTTTCCAATTTTATGTTAATTTCATATTCTTGTATCCGTAGATCCTCTGTATCCCAATATTTTTAGATACCAAGATCCTTATATTTCTACGTCCCTGGATGTTAAGACACTTATGTGCCTATACTGCTAGATTTCTATAAAATGTGTTAATTTTCCAGTTCATAAATTCTCAAAACTTCTATTTAATCATCTAAACTCCTAAGTTTGAACGATTCCAAATTACCAAATAAAAAAATTGCAATTTGTAGGTACAAAAGCTTACAGCTTAACAATACCTCATTTTAAAACCGCTACGTTCATCAATGTTAAACATCGTAAATCAAAAAGTTGACTACAAAACCACCCCTTTCCCTAAGAAAGCCTACCCGGGTATACCTGAGTGTACCTCTGTTATCCACACGGGAGCAACATAATTGAATTTATGCGATCGATACGTCGACTAGCGTCGACATCGTGCATATCCATTACCAACGATTCTGTGTCATTTTCCACAGCTCCGCTGGATGCCCGAACGTCTTCCGCAACAGCCAGGGAACTCGAAGAGTCCCAAAAGTCATCAGAACACATCCATTTGTCCGAAGAAAGTCTCGAAGATGCACGGGATAAATCATTTATTATCGCATCATGGCTCCCATAACGGCGACACGAGAACAGCCCACCATCATCAAGACCCGAAGAGCTCGTCCGCGTCGGACGCCAGACAGCAGAACACCAAGATCCTGCAGGAACTGTTAAACCATAAACACATACAGAAGCGGATATCTCGCGGTTCAGTTAGCTCGACTTACTCTTACGGTTCTTCCACGTCCTACGGTTCCTCGCACGGATCTAACTCTTCGAATCACAGTTCCTTGCTGCACGGTGTGCACAACCACTCGGTGTATCACACGATTCACGGGAACAGCCACTACGGCCATCACCAGTCGAACCATCACCACTATCACAACCACCATCATCCTCTTCAGCATATTCACCAGTTGCACCAAACGAGCAGCGGTAGAGCGTCGCCCACGTCGCCGAGTCCGACCGGGGATCACGAGAAGCAGCATCATCACCATCATTATAGCATTCAGGAGATGATACGTCATTTCGGGAGGCGTTTGGGGCACATGAGGAGACAGAGCGAGTGCCAGGATCCGCCCAGGAAGAAGGAGGAAGATTTTCGTAACAGAAGCCAGAGTTTGGACGGTGGGGCGAGACACCCGAGCCTGAGGGACGCTGATTGCGAGACCACCTACAGAATCTACGAAAGTATACTCAGGCAAGGTAACAAACTATAGTGTTTCGAGATTCGAACGATTGGACGATTCTTTCTGGCAGGAAACCGGGATCGATCCACTGGAAATGTGGCTCCTTTCAGTTCTTGCCAAATATTTCACGTATTGCCGGTGTACGTGTTGTGCCATTTTGACGTTTAATTTTAGGAATATAGGAATATTCAGATCTAGGAAGATGGGAAGTTATGTAGAGATGTACTGATATAGAGATTCAGGGGTTTGTGGATGAAAGGTTATAACTTTGAAATTTAGAAGTTTGGATATTTGAAAATTCGGGACATACAAATTTCGGAATCAAATAATATTGGGATATAGGAATCTAGGTATATAGAAATCTAGGAACATGGTGATATGGGGATAGAGATATACGTATGTAGAAAGCCAAGGATTTAGTGATATTGGGACATACATTTATGGAAATATAGAAATATGGAAATATATAATAGTAATCTAGAAGTATAGGAATATTGGTATATTGAAACCTAAAGATCTAACAATATTGGGACATGTGAATCCAGAAATATTGACATTTGAAAGCTTACATATATGCCTACATATATTTCGTTATTTTGTAATATGATTTCGTGGTTAACAATCTGATACCAGATTTTGCGTATTTCACCTCAATAACTCGAAAGTTTATAATTTTATACCCGCGTTATTCTCGTATCCCAAGTATATAAGCTGATTTATTCTCACTTATTACTTATGCTTTACGGCTTATGCGCGATGGTAATCAATATAAAATGCAGAAAGCTTTCAGCTGTTACCGCAATCAAATTATGCAGTCAAAATAAAAATAAATATGGTGAATAATCAAGATCGTAAGTATTTCAGGTTAGCGCCTTTAAAAAGCTAATCTCGAATACCGTATTATATCATATATTTATTGGCAAACGCCGCGTTGGCAATATTTCTTAAGTTCATTTTCCGACTGCATTTCGGTTACGCAATTTGTTTTGACGGCGCTCGAAAATGCAGTCTTTGTTGTCTTCGAGTTGTGACATGTCAAACTGATTATTTTGTTAACACGTCTGCCGCGATAGAAGTAGCCATATCAATCTCTGTAAGAAAGGAAAACAAATGAGTAATGATGAAGAATATGATTGGACAGATTTAATTAAATATTTCATGAAAGAGGACATGAGACAAATGATGTATAATGTCATCGTTGTCTCGTTAATCATTTATAATCATCGATTTAAATATTGGTAAACGTGATAACACATTTTTTATCGTAAATTTGGGGAGAGTTAGTGTGACGCGTGATGATGTAGTGGGAGTATCATATTTGGAGTGACTATGCAATGCGTGATGATTTAATATTTATTGACACATTGCATGGGGATGCAATATGTGGTGATATGACGGGTGGTGATACATTACGTGGTGATATAATGCGTGGTCATCCAACGCGTGGTAATACCATGTGTGGAGGTACAGTGCGTGGGGATATAACGCGTGGTAATACCACGTGTGGTGATACAGCGCGTGGTAATCCAACGCGTGGTAATACCACGTGTGGTAATACAACGCGTGGTAATCCAACGCGTGGTAATACCACGTGTGGTGATACAGCGCGTGGTAATCCAACGCGTGGTAATACAACGCGTGGTAATACCACGTGTGGTAATCCAACGCGTGGTAATCCAAT